AAGGAGACTCCACAGCCTCCCTGGGCAGCCTGGGCCAGGGCTCCGTCACCCTCAGAGGGAAGAAGTTCTTCCTCGGGTTCAGCTGGAGCTTCCTCTGCTCCAGTTTGTGCCCGTTGCCCCTTGTCCTGTCGCTGGGCAGCACTGAACAGAGTCTGGCCCCGTCCTCCTGACCCCCACCCTGCAGATATTTAGAGGCATTTATATGGTATTTAGAGACCCTCACTCACAGCGCAGAGGAGCCAGCCGACGGCACCGACCCGGCTTCTTGTGAGCCTGTGCTCAGCTCAGCCGTGCTCTCGATGCCCTCTCCAGACGAGCTACGCGGGGCATCGCCTCCTGCCCAAAACCAGGCCGCTACCGTCTGGCAACAGCCTTCTGCTGAAGGGTGGTCACACGTGCCAGCTGACCGCACTGGCAGCTCCTCAAGCTGCGAGGGAGACCTGGGAGCTTCCAGCTCCTCTGCGGCAGGCGAGGCTTGCCCGGGGCTGTAACACAAAGCCCCTCTGCCTGCAGAACCAAGTGCCCAGACCCTGACACATCCAAGCCCCTGAACTTGAGGGAGGGCAGGGCAAGTACTGCACGAACAGTTGTCTCAAACCTAGCCGCACCGTCCTTTCTGAAAGCACAAGCAGCAGAAACCTGCAGCTTCCCTGCTTTCCCGCTGCCCCCCTGCTCCTCACCGGTCCGGGTGCTTCTCCAGGCATTGCCCCCGCAGCGGGTGAGCCAGCTGCCAACCCCCTGAAATGGAACTGTGCACCGGGGCAGTGTCGAGTTACTGCAGCCGGGAGCTGCTCCGAAACAATGGGATTTCCTTCCCCAAGAGGGGGGCTGCGGCGTTACACCCCACCCAAGGGCACTTGCCCGTTCGTTGGTCTGCCTGTCAGAGCTCCACTCTGATGGAAACGCAAGCGTGCTGACGCACACCCCGTCTTCAGCTTCTCCTGCGATCCTTCTGTATCAGGAGCATGCGCTGGTCGCCCTCCCCAGCCAAGCTCCCTCCACCTGGTCACAAGCGCCCGAGCGAGCTGCACCCGGCGCGCTGCGGCCCTTCGTCTGTGGCCTCTGATCCAGCCCCGCGCAGTAAATCACCCTGCCGGCCCCCGCGGGAGGAGCGCGTGCCGGGGCAGCGGGACGGCTGCCTGCTGTCGCTCTGCTGCGGGGGCAAGCGCGCGGCACGTGCTGAACGTCTGACAATCCCGCATTCTAGGTTATATCCCTCAGGATAATCGCCGTGAGGATTAATGGGACTTCTCTACTAAAACAAAAGTTTTCCACAGTGACCTTTCCATGTTAATGCTCTTTAAGACCAGGGGTTGCATTTAGCGCTTTATTTTTAGTGACTGCAACCCTCTTTTGCTATTGTTTGGAAACCTTGGCTCAGCTCCTGACTTGGCCAAGCAACACAGGCTGAACACACTCCAAGTGTGGACATGGATACGCTGCCCAACAACAAGCAGCGCACACAGCCAGGGTATCAGTGAACACCCCTGAAACCAGAATAAAGCAGGGGAATCAAGACTGGTAGACCTGCACAGAAACCCTTGAAAGAACGTGGGATAATCCTTTGGGTCCCAGTGTTCGGACTCTGCCTCCCGCCCTGGTTAAGACACTCTGAAATTAATTTTATGTCAGTCCAGGGCATTTTGACAGAAAGCAAATGCTGGCAGCGTGCCATTCCAAGACTGATATTCTCAGAGCATCAAGTTGCTCAAAGGAGTCAAATTCCTCTAAAAACAAAGTGGATACACATACTGAGGAGTGGTTAAGTGGAGAAGCAGTCACTGAGGAGTCTAGAAAACACTGTTTCATTCCCCCCAGCTGCCCGGGAATGAGCCTGTTCTGCATCCCGAGTGGTCTCCGTATGCAGCCAAAGGGTGCTGGCAGCCCAGGCCACGCTGCACCTCGAGTACTGTGCCTTCCCCCAGGAATGGGCCGAGGAAGCGCTGGTCTTGCTTGACTCCTAGCCAAATGACTAAAAACCCTGCACTTCAGAGGTTATGAGCTGGTGGGAAGGGAAAAGCAAGGAGAGGGGGTTGTGGTTAAACTCCATCAGCATCTGTTAACAGCATCCAGTTTACCAACAAACCCTGCAGGCGCAGAGGCTGCCAAAACCAAGAGCTGAGCTGCTGCCTCACCCTGCCCCGCCGCTGACCGCCTCGCAGCACTCCCCCGGGGCTCAGCAGCGTCCCGGGGCAGCGAGCAAGCGCGCACCGCAGCTCCAGTGTTTGCCAGCGCTGACCCTACCACACAGGGACAAGAGCTCGCTCCGGCTCCCCCAGTAACGTACAGCACCGCCGCAGCCCTCCCCTGTGACATCTCCCACTGTTCCCAGGTAAGAACCTGTTCTGTGTGAGGAAAAAATTCAAGTCCCAATAGGGTCAAGAATTTGGACACCAAAGGCAGAGTCTTAATATTTTCTGTTACTTTCCTGCGTGGTCAAAGCCTTACATTTCAGCCCAGCAACTTCATAATCTTCTTCCTCCTCCTCTTCCTCCTCAGCATCTGGTTCATCAGAAGCTTCCTCGCCTTCTTCACCTTCATCTTCAGCAGAATCCTCTGCATAGTTCCTAGAGTAAGGCAGGCAAAACACATTTGTTGTACTGCGCATACTGATGCCTGCGCATCGGCGGCCCGGGGCCCTCTGCCCTGCTTCTTCCCAGGCACAGACCTGCCGACCACCTCCACGTAAAACAAAGACCCAGCCTCAGACTGCAGCAGTCTGCTCTCTTCCAGGAGTATCAAGTTGTAGCTACAGCTAAAAAGGCCCTTCCCAGGCTACCATCTGAACATCTGGGCTGAGAACCCCCAACAGCTCAGTCCGTGTGTTTTTGCTGTTCTAGGCACCTTGACCACGCTAGAACAGGTTTTGAGCCTGTGATTGCTGTGCACTTACTCCTCCCCAAGAGGATGTGCTGCTGTTTCACCTGGGACTGCAGGCCTGGCCTCAGGGGTTTCAAAAGGGGAGCTTTTTTGTTTCTGCTAGAGTATTTCCCATGATCTCCTTCCACCGTCACGTGCACCTCGTTTAGTGTTACTCCCAGCTAAGCTTGTATTGATTAGTGAACAGAGCTTCTCACGTGCTGACGTCAGAAGCCACAGGGACCCCCTGCCCAGGACAGCTCTGACTTCTCGCACGTGTCTGTTAAAGGACTCAAACCATCACAAAAACAGGAAAACAAGATGGCATGCACAGGCAAAAGGGGACAGAGGCAAAGCTGCTGCGGGAGTCTCAGTCCTCTGGAGAAGGAGGATCTTGAGCAGTAAAAGGAATAAGAATAAGCTCCCACAGTACAGGCTCCCAGGCTGACAGCTTTTTCCTGCCTGAGCTTGGAAGAAGGAGCAGAAAGCAGGTACCGAGATGGGTGCTACCCCACCTGATGGCTCTCCTCCAGGAGCCGAGCAGCTTGCAGGTGACTCTGCCACACAAAAGGAGCCGCGATCTCAGGCTCCAACAGCTGCCCTGAAGCCCTGTCAAGCGGGTAGGGGCAGCAGAGCCGCCAGCAGCAGAGGACACACATTACAAACGGAAACGTACATCTTGCATATGTTTAATTTCCAGCTTGCAGTTCAAAAAACAACTCAACCCCTCGCTGTCAGGAGGCAACTACTAATTTCTGCTGTGCAGAGCAGCTTTGACTCCTCCTCAAACCATGTTCCCTCTGTAGCCCTACAAGGATTCCTGCCTTGTTAAGGTTTATCAGGCCCGGAATGAGTGGCATTCTGCAGGCTGCTTTTTAGTAGCACAGTAGGGGCTGAGCTGCAGCCTGGAGTTACGGCCGCTCCAACTTGATAAGAACACGACAGTAACTTAGCCCAGGACTGCAGAGCCGCAGTGCCACCAGCTACACTCCCATGAAAAAGCAACCCAACTGGCTGCTCAGGCACAGAAAACAACAGCACGTCTGATTTTGGTTGACGTTTTGTGCATGTTTTCACTGCCAAACCCAAGTTCTTTATTAAAACTCCTGAAGCTGTCATGCGTCAGTACAATACAGGTGCGCTGAAGTCACAGCCTGAAAAAATTGCTTTTCTATTGTTCCAGTGCCCTTGAGTTAATTAGGCTGTTTCAAACCTTTTCAAGGGGCTCTGTTTCAGGCTGGTCTGGCAGGCGGGTGGAAGCACGGCTGGACCGGTCACTCACCTGCCCCGCGAGCTGCGCCTGGCCGTGGACGGCTGACACGCTGGGCACTGCCACTCGCCCTCCGGTATCTCATAGAGCGCCGGCCTCAGGCAGAACAGGTGGAAGGCTTTGTTACACTCGTCGCACAGGATCAGCTTGTCATCCTCACCTAGGAGAGTGCAACTTGCTTGTAACACTGCTGCAGCCTTGCTCAACCTGGGAAGCAGAAGCTGCTGCAGTGCTGGAGGTCAGGACAAAGCAAGAGAAAGATGCAAAGTGCCCTCGGACAGCAGGGACGCTTCCTTCCCGGATCCACCGCTGCAGCGGAAACCAGCAGCATTTAAAAACAAACAAGACAATGCCAAGTCCCTAGCCCTACAAAGATTTCATTTGAGGCAAAGGCAGAAACCTGCCAAATAGGCTCCACCCAGGCTACATCTCAAGCCAA